ATTCCTGCTCTCCCTGACTTAATTCAGGCCCTAATCATTTATTACTCAGACTGCTACACCTACCTCAAGTTACCTTCCTCTGATCTTGCGCTTCCAGTTGATTCCACACTGCAGCCAGAGTGACACTTCTGAAATTAACATAAGATTATGTCATTTCCTTGCTTTCATGTCTGTTGGTTCTTACTGCTTCCAAGATGAAGTGAGACTCTTCAGCACAGCCTTCAGGGCCCTTCCCAAGAAGGTCCTTTCTACCTCTTCGGCCTTCTCCCCCACTTCTCTGCCTTGCCTGGCTTCTGTACTAGATTTGCTGTTGCACTTGACATTTAATTAGTCATTAAAATATTCAGATTTTGACACTTCTCAACAATTCTACACGAGACATTCTGGTCCAAGTCAACGCTGTCTCTTACTTGGACGATTGCTGTAGCATTCTACCTGTTTTCCCTGCTTCTGTCCTTGCCTTTCTTTGGTTTGTTCTCCCCTCAGCAGCCAGAGTAATGCTTTAAAAATAGTAGAGAGGTTATGTCACTCCTCTGCTTAAAATCTTCCAATAATTTCTCATCTTTTCTCAAAGTAAAAGAGAAAGTCCTTATAATGGCCTATAAGGCTCTCCACATTTGGCTACCATGCTGTTCCTCTGACCTCATCTCATGACACTTTCTCTCACTCATTCAACTCCAACCACATCTGGTTCCTTGCTGTTCCTTAAACACACCAATCAAGGTTCCTCTTCAGGGTCTTTGCACTTACTGTGCCTTTTGCCTGGAAAGTTTCTCCCTCACATATCTCCATGGTTCCTTCCTTTATTTCCTTCAAACCTCTGAAATGGCACTTTATTAGTGAGGCCTTCTCTAATCACCTGGTGTAAAGGAGCAAACTTCCTACCTCCCACTGTCTCTCTTTTTCCTTTACTTTCAACTGTTTTTCTCCATACCACCAAATACATATTATATACTTATTTCTTTACTTGCCTGTCCTCTCTTCCTTTACCAGAATGGAAGCTGCTTGAGGCCCAAAGGCAGGAACTTGGTCTCTTTGGCTTACTGTCCTTCCTTCTTTTTCAGGACAGTGTGCTATAGCAGAAGAGTTCATTCTTTCCCCCTAATTTAAAAAAAGTTTACGTATAAGAAGTCCTTTCAATGTTTATCTGCTGAGATTTTTTTTAGAAAATAATAAAATAAATAAAATGTAATAGAAGCTGTGTTTGCTAAGCTTAATCTTTAAATTAATTATCTAGCCACTATCGGAAGCGATCAGCATCACGGGGACGCTCTGGAAGTCGATCTAGAAGTCGCTCACCGTCAGACAAAAGAAGTAAACGTGGAGATGACAGAAGGTCTAGAAGCAGGGATAGAGATAGAAGGAGAGAGAGGTCTCGTAGCAGGGATAAAAGAAGATCTCGGTCAAGAGACAGGAAGCGTCTGAGGTAAGACATTAATCTCCACAGGACTCTTGATAAATTGGACCTTCTCAGGCAAATCAGGCTTGTTCAAAAATTTTGGACTAGAATTTAGTGGCCCCTTTGCAGGCCCTCTGCTTTTACCCCAACTTGTTTGATTAGGTACAGAAGTGATTTGCCTAGAACAAGAACTTTCAAATAGTACTTTTTTTCCCCTTTCCACTGTCATTTTCAAACAATGAAGTAAAAGCTAAGGTAATATGCCATCAGGGGGGTTCTAGTCTAATCCTGTCCCAAGAGGGCTGACCCCTGTGTTCAGAGCAACTGCTAGAGCTGACAGGAGAAGGAAACAGGGCAGAGCCATCTCCATACTCTGTTTGAAACTATTTTAAAGAACTTTTTTAGATTTAACCAAAGAACATCCTAATTTTTTTACACTTGATTAAATATTCCATGGTACCACCCAAGCAGCCATAACTTCTAGAGGTAGAAAACAGTCTCTAAATAAAAATAATCTTCCCCACACCAAAAAAAGATTTCTCATAAAGTTTCTCATTAAAATGGGAAAGAAGACAAGGTTATACAGGTGCTGTGAACTGATCACAGAAAGAACTTTGACTTCATCTTTTTCAGACATTGGAAGGAGAGATTGCAAAAGTGTCACCTGGTACTTAGGGAAAATATTCACCTGTAACAATGTGGATAACACTAACTTATTCAATTTTATATTATGTGGTACCAGGAACAGTTTCATACAATTCAGTCAAGTACTTGTTAAGTGAAATTGGTCGTTAAAGATTTGGTCTTTGACTTTTTGGTGTGAAAGAATCACAAGATTTTAGAGCAAGAAGGATTTTGAGATTATTTGGGGAAGTCTCCATATTTTACAGATGAGGAAACTGAGACCCAAGGAGTTGATCTGCCCTATGTATGTCACTAATTAGTAGTACCAGGGTAGAAATTCTTGTCTCCTAATTTTCATATCTGTGATCTTTCCACAGCCCCATTCTGCCCATCCTTATACTTAGGTTTTGGCTGTCTTTGAAATTTAGATTTTCTGCTATAGGTCATAAATTTCAAACAGCTCTTGTTACATATTTCCTCTGTTTTTCAACAAACATCGCTTTGAAATTAGTATCATTTATTTCATTGACCACTTGTAAGGACTGGCTTTACTTGTTCCCTGTTTAGCTGATTTGATAGTTGAAATTAGTATATTTCATTGACCACTTGTAAGGACTGGCTTTACTTGTTCCCTGTTTAGCTGATTTGATAGTTAATTGAAATCTGTCTTTAATAATGGTAATAATTAAGAAACTTCTTTCAACATGAGGCAGAACCATGGTCTGAAGTAGGCGTTCCACTTGGTCATAGAATAAATGAAGTGTCCCCTTTCAGGCGTTCCAGAAGTAGAGAGAGAGATCGAAGTCGAGAGCGAAGAAGATCTCGAAGTCGAGACAGGAGACGTTCGAGGAGTAGAAGCCGGGGCCGGAGATCCCGATCCTCCAGTCCTGGCAATAAAAGCAAGAAAGCTGAAAATAGGTAGGTTGGGAACTGACTCTCTTCCCTACAGTTTTTTTTTTTTTTTTTTTTTTTTTTTTTTTTTTTTTTTTTTTTGCGGTACGTGGGCCTCTCACTGTTGTGGCCTCTTCCGTTGTGGAGCACAGGCTCCGGATGCGCAGGCTCAGCAGCCATGGCTCACAGGTCCAGCCGCTCCGTGGCATGTGGGATCTTCCCGGACTGGGGCGCGAACCCGTGTCCCCTGCATCAGCAGGCAGACTCTCAACCACTGCGCCACCAGGGAAGCCCCCTACAGTTTTTTTAAAAAATCTTTATAAATACTGAATTTGGCTGCTGCCATGAGCTGTTAGCTGAATTATTTCAGTAGGTTATAAAGCTTGTAATGCTTTTAGAAAATGCTAGATTCTATTAGTTTTAACACTCATAATGCATTGTTCTTTTATTTAATATCTGCTATTAATGGTCAGAAATGCATATTATATACATCTTTGTGGGAACTGTGTTTTTTCCTTTGAAATTATTTTCTTGGCATTTCCCATGTTGATTGACAAATAACTGTTTTACTCATGGTGTGCATTGCTGAATTGCTATTCATAATGGGTGAACTTTGCTTTTGTAAGTTAAATGTACCTGTTTCCTTAAGATGTCAGTACCATTCAATTTTGAGATATTATTTATGTCTATTAGACATAATACACTTACTCTTTTTGTTTCTCTTATTAGTGGTTTGTTCTTTGCCATTATTGTTTCTAAAGTGGTGTCATGGGATGTATGGATTTGTTCTGTTTTCTCTATATTAGTTAATGAGGATTTTTGCCATGTCATTTATTTTGCTTTATAAATTTTACTTTTATTTTGTCAAGGTCAGTGTACTAATGCCCATTGGGACTATTTTAAATTTTAAAATATAAATTCAGAGAAATGAGTTAAATATAAACATGCAGCTTATTAAATAATTATAAGGCAAGATCCACGTAACCGCCACCAAAGTCAAGAAATAGAACATTTTCTGTACCCCCGGAAGCCCTCCATGTCCCTTCCCTAACCCAGCTCCCTCCTTCCCTATATAAAAACACTCCTGACTTTTGTGCTAGTAATTTGTGTCCTAATTGTTTCCTTATAGTTTTACCACCTGTGTGTATAACTGGAAAAAGAATAGTCTAGATTTATGTTTTTTAACTTTACATGAATGAGTCTTGTCTTCTTTTGTGATTTTGCTCAACATTGAGAGTTATCTGTGTTGCTCATAACAGTAGTTTGTTTATTTATTTGTTTGTTTGTTTATTTATTTATTTATTTATTGCATTATGCGGGCCTCTCACTGTTGTGGCCTCTCCCATTGTGGAGCACAGGCTCCGGACGCGCAGGCTCAGTGGCCATGGCTCACGGGCCTAGCCACTCCGCGGCATGTGGGATCTTCCCAGACCGGGGCACGAACCCGTGTCCCCTGCATCGGCAGGCGGACTCCCAACCACTGTGCCACCAGGGAAGCCCCAACAGTAGTTTATTTTTATTGCTGAACACTATTCTGGGGTATAAATATACCACTATTTATTTATCCATTCTACTGAGATGGATGTTTGGGTTGTTTTAACTTTGGAGCTATTATGAACATTTTTGTATATATATCCTAGTATACATGTGTATGAGTTTCCCTTGGGTATATATATATATATATATATATATATATATATATATAGGAGTGAAGATCATTATTGACTCTGTAAAAATACTTTTTTCTTTTAAAAATGTTCTCTTGTGTATATATATATATATATATATATATATATATATATATAGGAGTGAAGTTACATGGTCATAGAATAAACATAGCTTCATTTTAACTAAGTAATCCGAAATGCTTTCCAAGGAGTTTGTACTAATTATACTTCCAGCAGTATATGAGAATTGTATCCCTCCATACCATTGCCAGTATTAGGTATTGTCAGCCCTTTTGATTTTTGTTTATTTGTTAGACATGTAATAGCAATATCATTATGGTTTTAATTTGCATTTCCTTGATTACTAATGAAGTTGAACACTTTTTCATATGTTTCTTGGTCATTCATATTTCCTCTTTTCTAAAGCACATGTTTAAATGTTTTGCTCATTTTCCTATTGGGTTGTTTCTGTCGTTAAAAATTGATTTATAGGGGGGTTTTGTTTTTAAATATTCTGGATAGTTGTTTTTTGTCATTTATGTGAGGGGCAGATATATTACTCTGGTTTGTCTTTTTACTCTGTAATGATACTTTTGAGGAACAAAGACTTAAGAAATGTTCATAAAATGAAGAAAATTAATAAGATGATTGAGGAAAACCTGACAAGGGCAGTGTGAAAAAAGATTATAGGCTATACTCAGTCTAAACATAAAGGATTAGCATGCTGCTTTTAACAATATATAAAAAAGATAATACAATCATAAACTAGTTGGATTTATTCCAGGAATGGAAGGTTGGTTTAACATTGGAAAATCATTCCGTATGATCCTCTACATTAGTAAGATTCAAGGAGAAAAGTCTTGGTTATCTAAGTAGATTCAGGAAAAGCATCTTACTAACTTCAACATACATTGATGTTTAAAAGTTCTTAGCAGACATGAATAGAAAAGTATTTGATAAACTGATGATAAAATTAGGAATGCAAAGGGCATAAACACTTTTGAAGAACAAGTTATGAGGGCTTGCACTACCAGGTATCAAGACTTGTTATAAAGTTACAGAAATTAAGAGTGTTGCTTTATTGTAAGGATAGACAAGTAGATCACTGGAAACATATAAAGAACTCAGAATCAGATCCACGCATATAAGGTCATTTGATAAATGACAGTGGTGACATTGTAAATAGTAGGAAAAAGTTTTTCCAATAAATGGTGTTAGGGACATTTGCTATGCTTTAATAAAATAGGACTGGCTACCTCATTCTGTGTGCAAAAAGCATTTCCAAACAGATTAAAAACCAAATTAGATGGCAAAGCTATAAACTTTTTAGGAGTTTGTACTAGAGAATATCTTCTTTGCCTCTTGAGTATCTTCAAAGTTGGAAAAATTTCTTAAGATGCTTTAAAAAGCACCAATCATAAAGGAGGGAAAAAAGTCAACTAATTTGATTACATTACAATTAAGGGATTTTATTCATTATTAGATGCCCTAAGTAGGGTCAAAATGCAAGCCTATTGGGATTTTTTTTTTTTTTGCGGTATGCAGGCCTCTCACTGCTGTGGCCTCTCCCCTTGCGGAGCACAGGCTCCGGATGCACAGGCTCAGCGGCCATGGCTCATGGGCCCAGCTGCTCCGCGGCATGTGGCATCTTCCCGGACTGGGGCACGAACCTGTGTCCCCTGCATCAGCAGGCGGACTCTCAACCACTGTGCCACCAGGGAAGCCCCGCCTATTGGGATTTTAAATATTATTACATATATCAGTTGTCTTGTAGACTATTAATGTCTTTGTGTATTTCTCCATTTGTTAAATTTTAATTTTGTTATTTAAATTTTGTAATTATTTTTATATGCTGTGTCCAGTTTTCCTTTGGTCATTTTCCAGATATCTAATAATATTTGCAGTTAGTGTCATGGGATTAATTCTTCATTTTATTTCCAAAGTGTTCATTAATGGTATATAAAAATTCAGTTGACTCTTGGAAGTTTATTTCTTACATAAAAAGTAAAATACAAGTCTAAGTATTCTAAAATTAATGTTTCCAAAAACAAATAGATGATGTCCCTCTCTTTTTTTGGTAGGTCTAGGTCCAAAGAGAAAACAGATAGTGGGGAAAGTTCTAAAGAGAAGAAAAAAGACAAAGACGACAAAGAGGATGAAAAAGAAAAGGATGCCGGTGTATGTTTACTAACATAAGTAATCGTATAATATCAAATTTGTTTCTGTAGTGACAGATTCTTGTTTTTTAATGCTGTGTGTTTTATTTTTAAGTAAATGATAATAGATTTGTAAAATAAACAGGTAAAATAATAGTTGTCCCATGAGAAAATTTTTCAGAAAAAAGTTGCATATCTATACAAATTATCTAATTTTATGTGCAAAATGTGATCATACTATATACAGTATTCTGTGCCTTGCTTTTTGTCACTTTTAAATTATGAATTATTTTATCAATATGTAAAGTCTTAAGAGTAATAAATAGCAGTATACGAACTATCTAACTTAAGAAGTAGAATACCTTTCTGTTTTCATTTGTTAAATATTGGATATCTTTCTGTAGCTGCATACAGAGGTAGAGCTTGTTGTTTGTAATGCCTGCATAGTGTTTTGTTGAAAAAAGGTAGATGGATATTTAGGCTGTCTCCAGTCTGTAGTTATAAACAATGATATATTAATCCTTGTACACATGTGTTTTGTGAATATAGTATAGGGTAAATTGGTATCAGTAAAATAAATGACTTTGTCAATGGGTATATATATATAGCTTTCCCTCAGTATCCTAGGGGCTTTGGTTATAGGACCCCTGCAGATACCAAAATCTTCAGATGTTCAAGTTCCTTATATAACATGATGTAGTATAACTTACACATATCCTCCCCGCATACATTGTCATCTCTAGATTATGATACCTAATATGACGTAAATGCTGTGAATAGTTGTAAACATAATGTAAATGCTATGTGAACAGTTCCCAGCATGGGGCAAATTCTAGTTTTGATATTTGGAACTTTCTGGAATTTTTTTCCTGAATACTTTTGATCCACAGTTTGTTGAATTCTGAGGATGTGGACTCACAGACACAGAGGGCTCGCTGTATACATTTAACATTTTGATGAATAGTATCAAATTGCTCTCCAAAAAAGTTGTATAAGTTTTACGATTTTAGACATATGAAAATGTTTATTTCTTCACATTCTTGCTAACATGGCTATTTCAAAGTTTAATTTTTGCCAGTATAATTGGTTTCTTGTTATTTTGAGTTGCATATCTTTAAATATGAGTAAATATTTTTAAATACTATGAACATAATGCAAACTAATAATTAAATAAGGTATTTTAAGTTTATTTACTATTTGCACTTTTCTTAGAATGCCTAGTCATATCTTTTGCCCATTTTAGAATATATTATAGCTTCACTTTTTTTCCTTTTTTTTTTGAGTTCTATTTGTTTAGTGTTTTTTTTTTTTTAAGGGACCTGCTTTCTGAGCAGTGTATCTAAGAAAAGATATAACACAAGAAGTCTGGGAGTCTGGTTTCTGATCTAGTTTCTACTAGTCTTGAATGAGTGGGTGATCTTGAGAAAAACACAAGCTTTCTGGGACTCATCTTCAGAGAGGATGGAATTATTATAAAGGATATAAATTCAGGATCAAAGCTTTTTGTTTAAGAAATAAACTTATTTTAAAAATACAAACATAATATAACTGTATTATAAAATACTTGGAAAGTCAGAAATAATCCTCTGTAATCCTAGGTGCCCAAAATGCCATCATCATTATCATTTATTAATATTTTCTTTGACTTTTATACATGTGTATTTCCATAACTACCTGTAAGGTAGCGTGTCTAAAATTTTGATTTCTATAATGCTTAATCTTTAAGTCCCTGATTATGACTGCAAATGATTTGCTCTCTCCTTTTAAGAGTATTATTAATAATCTTGATACAGGCTTTAGAATGGCTGTTCCTAGGAAACCTAGACCTAAAGGCTAAAAGATCAAAACTTCTTAATCATGTTGTTAAATAGCTTTTATTTACTCAGTAATTTGTAATAGAAAATTGCTTTTCATGGAGGCAGTCTTGGAGGAGTTTAGAGGATTTAAAGTTGAGAATAACTAATAACTAGGGAACTTTGCTTGCTAGTTAATTTAGTTTCCACTTAGAGGGAGAAATTGAATTCATGTGTGCATATTGCTTGTAACTAAAATGAGATTAATTTATGTTGTTTGAAGTCTGTCTGCTTTCTTAGTTGAAGATGCTTTTTATTGTGATTTCATTTTGCTAGTTTATTCCTGAATATATTTAAAAGATGTGTGATCTAAATCTGGTCTAAATTTAGGAGTTTTGTGTACATCTATTTTCAGGAGTTTTGTGTACATCTATTTTTCCTTTTTTTATACTTTGGAGAAGTTATCTGGAATGTCACTTGGAGTAAAATTGTTGATCCTTATTTCCCTCTCTCTATTTCTCTTATTTTTCCCCCAAGAACTTTGACCAGAATAAGCTAGAAGAAGAAATGAGAAAGCGAAAAGAAAGGGTAGAGAAATGGCGGGAAGAACAACGTAAAAAGGCCATGGAAAACATAGGGGAACTGAAAAAGGAAATTGAAGAGATGAAACAAGGGAAAAAGTGGAGTTTAGAAGATGATGATGGTATATTGATTTGTTAGACTAATAGACTATATAACAATTCATGTAGAATATTCTAGAATTATGAGTAATAGGCCATTTTTATTGTGGAAAAACATACATAATGTTTACTATTTTAACCATTTTTAAGTGTACAATTCAGTGACAATTAAGGACATTCACAGTGTTGTGCAACCTTCACCACTGTCCATTTCCAGAACTAAACAAAAACTCTGTACCTCATTCAACAATAATTCTCCATCCTGTCCCCCTCCCCCCCCATTTCTGTTAACTTCTAATCCACTTTCTGATTCTGTGAATTGCCTGTTTTAGGTACCTCATGTAAGTGGAATCATACAATATTTGTCTTTTTGTGTCGGGCTTATTTCACTTAGCAAAGTGTCTTCAAGTTTCATCCATGTTGTAACATGTCTCAGAATTTCCTTCTCTTTTAAGGCTGGATAGTATTACATGGTACATATATACTGCATTTTGTTTACCTATTCATCTGTTGCTGCATATATAAGTTTCTGTCTTTTGGGTATTGTGAATAATGCTTCTATGAGAATTGGTGTGCAAGTATCTGATTGAGTCCCAACTTTCAGTTCTTTTGGGTATATACCTAGAAGTAGAATCACTAGTTTCATTTTGAGATTTTTAAACGCCCCTTTTAATGTTTACATTAAATTTTAAAATTGTATAGTAGTGTTTGGTAAGGATCACTGATTTTACCTTAGAGTGGAGAGTTAGGTGCTTATGGGCATAGTCAGTAAATAGCTCTTTAATTTTTTACTTCAAATGTTAGTAATGAGGGTAAGTTAAGGGCATGTTTTCAAGTCCCTCTGATTTTTTCATAAATTATAAGAGAAACATTTCCCCTCCACATCTGATATTGATGTTTAAGATTTTAGAAAAGTGGAAGAGTGTGAGATATTATAGGAGAAGGGAATTTTGCTCCATTTTCTGTGAAAATTCCTGTGAATTTTTCATTTTCTGTGAAAGTTGAACTAAATAGATGAATGGATTATACCTTTAAGTGGTGATGATATCTTAGTTATGTAAAAAACATTAGATTGTCTTTAATTAAGAATGTGCTATTATTTTTGCTTTGTGTCATTTAAAGAAAGATAATTGCAAGAAATAAACATACCATTTTAGCAGACAGAGTTTTTAGTTCTGCTTCTGCTAGCATAGTTGTAAAACAATACCGGAGATCCATTTTTTAGACATATTAGTCTTAACTTAAACTCTTTTCAGTTTAATAATTTATAATTTATTTCTTTTATTATTAGTATTGTTCAAAACTAATACCTGCTGGATTTAAAACCTTGCCAGTGTGAGTATTTGAACTGCGTTGTGCCTGGGTTAATTGGTAAGGAAGGTGTTTGGGTAGTAAGAGAAAAGGCTTTAATGGGGGGGCGGTGTGGTCTCATTGTGAAGTATTTCCTTTTGAAACACAAATTCAAAGAAAGTGTATTCTGATATTTTAGATGATGAAGATGATCCTGCAGAGGCTGAAAAGGAAGGAAATGAAATGGAGGGTGAGGAGTTAGATCCATTAGATGCTTACATGGAAGAAGTGAAAGAGGAAGTAAAAAAGTTTAATATGAGAAGTGTGAAAGGTGGTGGGGGAAATGAAAAGGTATGGAATTTTCTCCTATTTTTAAAGATTTACATTCCTAATTGGGTAACTTGAATTCATTGGTGCATTGACCTACTGCTGACATGCATGGCTTTATAAAGTTAATGATTTTGTTTCCTTCCCCATCTCAGAAGTGTCAATACTTTTCTAAATAGCAGAGATACTAGTGAATTTTTTTTTTTTTTACATTTAAACATTTTATTTATACCAAAAAAACAGAATTTATTAGACTGTTACTTTCCTATTAGACTGTAACTTTATTTATTTATTTTACTTTTATTTATTTTTTAACATCTTTATTGGGATATAATTGCTTTACAATGGTGTGTTAGTTTCTGCTTTATGACAAAGTGAATCAGTTATACATATACATATGTTCCCATATCTCTTCCCTCTTGCCTTTCCCTCCTTCCCACCCTCCCTATCCCACCCCTCCAGGTGGTCATACTAGTGAATTTTAACTGCAAATGTTCTTTTAGAAGTCACTGTTAACTACCATCTTCTTTGTTTAGTATTTTTTCTTACTTGTTGCCTTCTCAGTAGGTCCTCTTCAGTTTCAGTAAGCCCTGCGTAGGTCCTTCTCCAGCACTCCCATCTTTTATGCTCCTGATCCTCTTTACTCTAGTTTTTCTTTTTCTTAATAGCATTTATTACCTTTTGAAAAATTATATAAATTAATTTTTTGTTGTGTTTATTCCTTCTTCTAAAAACTTCCCAAGAGCAGTGATCTTTACCATACCTGTCTTGTTTATTGATTTATCCTAAGGTCCCAGAATAGTATTTGGCTTGTTGAATGAGTGAAAAGTACCATTTAGTAGTATTTTTAAAATAAATTATATTACATAATATTATATAAAATTATATATTATATACTGCATTACCTATATATTAATGTGTTACAAAATATAATACCATTGTATTACATTTAAAAAAAATTTTTTTTTAATATTTATTTGGTTGCATCGGGTCTTAGTTGCGGCATGCATGATCTTCATTGCGGCGTGTGGGCTTCTCTAGTTGCGGCATGTGGGCTTCTCTAGTTCTGGCGTGCAGCCTCAGTAGTTGCGGCATGTGGGGTCTTAGTTCCCTGACCAGGGATCAAACCCACATCCCCTGCATTGGAAGGCAGATTCTTAACCTTTGGACCACCAGGGAAGTACCTACATTTTTAAATTCAAGCAAGTCAGTAAGGAGAAAGCAGACCACGTTTTGTTTTTTCATTAGGTTGTCACTAACAACTAAGTTAATTCAAATTATAAATTGTGACATTCAAATTATAAATTGTAAATTATCATTGTGTTTCATTTGGTGTATAATTTGTGTTTCAACTTTACAATGTTTTATATTCTTTTTTTAGAAGTCTGGGCCAACAGTCACAAAAGTTGTCACTGTTGTCACAACCAAAAAAGCAGTCGTAGATTCTGATAAGAAGAAAGGTGAGCTAATGGAGAATGACCAGGATGCCATGGAGGTAATTATTCATTAATTTTTATTTATTTATTTATGGCTGCGTTGGGTCTTCGTTGCTGTGTGCGGGCCTTCTCCGGTTGCAGTGAGTGGGGGCTACTGCCCGCTGTGGTGCATGGGCCTTTCTTTGCAGTGGCTTCTCTTGCTGCAGAGCATGGGCTCTAGGCGCCCAGGCCTCAGGAGTTGTGGCACGCAGGCTCTGGAGCACAGGCTCAGTAGTTGTGGCACATGGGCTTAGTTGCTCCGCAGCATGTGTGATCCTCCCGGACCAGGGCTCGAACCCGTGTCCCCTGCATTGGCAGATGGGCTCTCAACCACTACGCCACCAGGGGAGCCCCCTTCATTAATTTTTGACTTTGTTTGCGATACTGTCCTAGAAGTATTTATAAGAAAGCATTGATGGAAGTGTGCTTTTCAGTTACTCTTAGGAGAAATTCTTGCTTTTCTCAACAGTATTATAGCTGCATATTCAAATTGGTAGAACATTCTAACATCTTTGACCTCTTGTTGTATGCCCACTTTTTTTTTAAATTGAAGTATAGTTGATTTATAATACAGTGTTAGTTTCAGGTATACAGCAAAGTGATTCAGATATATATATCTGTCTATAGGTATATATACATATATATACACATACACACAAACACATATATACACACGTGTATATATATATATATATTTTTTTTTTTTTTTTTTTTTAGGTTCTTCAGACCAATTTTTTTTTTTTTTTTTAGATTCTTTTCCATTTTCGGTTATTACATGATATTGCATATAGTTCCCTGTGCTATACAGTGAATCCTTGTTGTTTGTTTTATGTATAGCAGTTTCTGTCTGTTAATCCCATACTCCTAATTTATCCCTCCCCTTCCCCTTTCCCCTTTGATAGCCCTAAGTTTGTTTTCCGTGTCTGTGAGTCTGTTTCTGTTTTGCAAATAAATTCATTTGTATTATTTTTTAGATTCCACGTATAAGTGATCTCATATAATATTTGTCTTTCTCTGTCTGACTAAATTCACATAGTATGATATTCTCTAGGTTCATCCCTGTTGCTGCACAAGTGTATGCCCACTTTTTGATTCCCACTTGTCCCTCATCAGCTCATCCCAGACGTAGAATAGGGAGAGAAGAAATGAAGTAACAGAATAAATTAAATTTTTTTCCTATTAGCACTCATTGTAAAGATTTATATAGAGAAAACTATAGGAAAACTTTATTAAAGCCGTGTTAAAATTATTTTTTTATTTTAGCTTTATATTGTTATTACAGCTTTCTATAAGGGCAAAGAAAAAATAAACTAAGTTGGAAAATTCAGAAAATAAAGTAAAAGCCAAAGAATATTTTCTAGGAGAGGAGGATCTTTAAAACTAGGAATATTTCTTCCCATAGGAGAAAGTAGTAATGGATTTAGCTCTTAATTTTTCTTTTTTAATTATAGTATTCTTCAGAGGAGGAAGAAGTTGATCTTCAGACTGCCCTTACAGGTTATCAGACAAAGCAGAGAAAGCTTCTAGAACCAGTGGATCATGGAAAAATTGAATATGAACAATTCAGAAAAAACTTTTACGTTGAAGTTCCAGAACTGGCAAAAATGTCTCAAGAGGGTAGAATTTTTTTATTCATTTATTGGTTATTGTGGGAACAGAGGGAGTACACTTCACCTTGCCTGGGAGGAATGTTGATAGGCCTGTGAGTTGATGCATGAGTAGGAGGAATTTGCCTGGCTTACCTGGAGAAATGAGAGGGAACTAGAAGGCGAGAAGTCATTCTAGAGTAGGACAACATCTGCAAAGATTTGGAGCAGTGAGGAATTAGTGTGTTTTTGGAAACATTTAAAAAAATGAGCAAAAATTAGTTTGGCTCATGTAGTTGAGATTTTTAGCATCGAAAATACTCTTCATGTGAAGTTAGCAAATAAAATAGTTAACCTTTTCTGATATTTGAGAGTTAGGAACCAGTGTGAATCTGTGTGATATTGCTAGAATAAGGATAATCTGGGCAACCTTTGCTTAAAGAACAAGTGGTTGTATTACTTGTCAATCATTGTTCTTTTATTGCTGGTACAATTTAAGTCAAAATAAAAGCCAAATTGTAGAAATTGGAGTGTTTCTTTTGTTCCTAATTGGTTGCAGCAGTAATCGCTTTAGTTTTCTCTCTGAGCTGTTCAGTACTTTGTCACGTAGCTTTTCTATGGAATTATCTTCAGGAACACTAGAAAAGAATTGAAAATTTTTAATCTTACCATGCCTCACTGAAAAGTAGAAGGCACCATTAGAACAATATTTAAGAGTTTTTAATCTGGATTTTGTTTTGTAGAAGTGAATGTATTTCGGTTGGAAATGGAGGGCATTATTGTCAAGGGAAAAGGTTGCCCCAAACCAATTAAATCTTGGGTTCAGTGTGGGATTTCTATGAAGATCTTAAATTCTCTCAAAAAGTAAGTGTTCATCAGTTGTCCACATTTTTCAGTATCTTGCTACTAAAAATAGCCCTTTACACAAATAATTCCTCTGCTTACATTTTTACTCTAATGGGAAAACTTGATTATTTTTTCTTAAACAGTTTTATTGAGATATAATTTACATACCATAACATTTACCCTTTAAGTTTACAATTTGATGATTTTTAGTATATTTATGGAGTTGTGCAGTCATTACCATAATCTAATTTTAGAATATTTTCATTATCCCCGAAAGAGGTCTGGATCCATTAGTAGTCAGTTTTCTCCTTTCTCCTCCACATTAGACAACCTCTCATCTACTATTTTTATAGATTTTTCTATTCTGGACATTTCATATAAATAAGATCATACTAATATAGTCTTTTGTGACTGGCTTCTTTTAATTAGCTTAGTATTTTCAAATATTTCTACATCATCCATGATGTAGAATGTCTCAGTACTTCATTCCTTTTCATTGTATGGATGTACATTTTGGAAAACTTTTACAGTTTGAGGGACCCAGAGATCACAGTTCTTACCTTGTCTTCCTTTGGTTTGCTTTTTAAGGCATGGTTATGAAAAGCCTACGCCAATCCAAACCCAGGCGATTCCTGCTATAATGTCTGGACGAGATTTGATTGGTATTGCCAAGACAGGAAGTGGAAAGACCATTGCCTTTCTGTTGCCTATGTTTAGACACATCATGGATCAGAGGTCATTAGAAGAAGGAGAGGGACCAATAGGTAAAATTCCTTTCATTAAACTATTTTTTCAGTTAACAACTTTGTTGTCCGTTAATCAGAAAGACCTGATACTTTGTAATGTTAATTATAACAATAAAGATGTCTTTATGTACATTTCCTTTATAAATTTGGCACTTTGGGGCTGATTTCCCCTTACCAGCAGGTGGAGTGAGAATCTTCAGAGCTCTGGAGTGACATCTCAGAAGTACAAAAACAGCCTCTCCTGGCACAGCTCAGTTTTTAAACTCTGACTCGGCAGGTAGACTCCTCGTGCATCTATCTGTTTATTTATGTTGAGGTTTGTTCTTAGCCCGTATCAGTGGATCTATAAACTCAACATAGAAGATTGTAGGGAAGTGTATTTTTCTTTTCTTTTTTTTTTTTTTTTTGGCCTTAAAAGGCTGTAGTGCCAACATTTCATTCAGGATTAGGTCTTTAGATTCAGTGTTCTTGATTCATTTGGCAGAGATCTCTTCTCCAAATTTGAGTAGGGTTTTGGAAAGTTGTTCAACTCCTCTCTTGACAACAGAGGGCACAGTATATTTCTCCTCTGTCTTTGCCCCTCAGACCAAGGTTGTTTCTGGAAGCCATGGCATGGCTCTTCAGCATAGTGAGTCACTTGATTATCTTTGCTCTCTGATTTTCAGTTGAGAATGATTTGCATTCTTTTCAACCAAGTATTTTCCTGATGGTTGAGTAAGGTATTTAACTCTCATTTATCTTCCTATAGCATGTTCTTAAAATCTTCTTAAAATTATCCTTCACCACAATCTCTGCTATTACAAAACTTGAAATAGGATTTTCAAAGGTGCATAAAACAGATTAAAACTAAATTTAGACTAAGATCTGAACTTGATTGCAGAGGTTAAATTTAACACTATAAAGCTTAGCCTCTCAAGAATTTTGGTGGTTAGGCTTTTGACATTTATCTTTTCAGCTGTCATCATGACTCCAACTCGAGAACTGGCTTTACAGATTACTAAGGAATGTAAGAAGTTTTCGAAGACCTTGGGCCTTAGAGTGGTCTGTGTTTATGGAGGAACAGGAATCAGTGAGCAGGTAGTTATAAAAGGAACATTCAGTTTTTCCAGTCTTTTTAAAAATTGAATGACTTAATAATGTAAAAGTGATTTTTTGCTTTGGTGTTTTCTGTATTGATTGCTTCTAAAATCTTTAAAATGAGGTGTGAAAATAATAGTAAGAATGAATTATGTTAAAGTTATATTTTAGAATTTTTGAGTCATTTTCATATCTTAGCTTTCCTGTGCTTGTCTTTCCCCACTCAAGGAAGCAGATTATTTTTTCCATTTTACAGATGTTCAGAAAGGTTAAGTTGACCAAAGTCTTTAGCTTAGTAAGACTTGTCCTAGAATCTAGGTCTTAGGATTCCTGGACCAACATTTATTTTCTCTAATCTAAATGACATCTTTAAAAGGTGGTTTTGAGTGGGATGTATTAATATCAGAGTTTCATTTGCATTCTTAAATGATTTTAGTAAGAATTATTTAAACATACCTTCATTCACTCTCTTTAGATTGGCATTTCTCCATGTGTCTTCTAAAGAATACTAGTCATCAGATATTTTGCTTTAACTAGAAGAAGGAAAAATACTGGGTTCTGTGGTCAAATAAGTTTTGGAAATGTTGGACTATGCAAAGTTAAAATTTCCTTTTCTGCAAGACTTCTTAGTTGTTAATAAGCTAATATTGTGATGCTAGAAAAAAACGGGATAAATTAAGTGGCGTTTTCTGAACATATTTAACCCCGAAACCACCAGGACTTCTCAGATTTTAGACACATCTTGGGAATATTTGCTTTTGTTATCCCAGTGCTATCTTATTTTATTTATTTATTTATTTATTTTTATTTTTATTTTTTTTGTGGTACGCAGGCCTCTCACTGCTGTGGCCTCTCCTGTTGCGGAGCACAGGCTCCGGACGCGCAGGCTCAGTGGCCATGGCTCACGAGCCCAGCCGCTCCACGGCATGTGGGATCTTCCCGGACCTGGGCACGAACCCCCACGTCCCCTGCATCGGCAGGCGGACTCTAAACCACTGCGCCACCAGGGAAGCCCCCAATGCTATCTTAAACGCTTGAAGTTAGTTTTCTAAGTTTATCTGTGTCAGTTTTTTTGGCCATAGCCTGTAGTAAATACAGTTACAAAATAAGGTGGTACATGCATGCATATTTATATAGAAGTCAAACAAAGTTTTATAATGTCTAACAAAGTCTAGTGTTTTCCATTCTATTTCATTTTTAAAATGCAGGTTGTGACTTAACTGATTTCGTGATTCACTAATGGAAACAAATCTCAATTTGAAAAACATTGATCTATCAAATTTCTTTATTTACTGCTCTCTCATATTCCTTTCTTGGTTTTGAGGAGTTGTGTCAAATTAAAATTGGTAAAAACCTCTGGTTTTCATTGATTTCAAAGTTACAGCATCATATGGTCTTTCTGCTGCTTCCAATTCCTTTATTAGTGCTCCAGCATTCCAAAGAATTAAGCAGGAGCCTTTGGTGTCTTCTAATCAGACCTGGCTGTCTTACCTTATGGAGCTCTGCAAGGACCTCAGTCAGTATTTTCAAGTTTGTAAAGAAGCATTAGTGATAAATACACTATAAAATTTCATCTTTTCTTATTAGATTGCTGAGCTGAAAAGAGGTGCTGAAATTATTGTTTGCACACCTGGTCGAATGATTGACATGTTAGCAGCTAACAGTGGTAAGTCAGGGGTGTTGGGGTTTTTTTGTTGTTGTTCGTTTTTTTGTTCTCTTTTCTCCTTTTTGAATTCTGTACATTTTTGTTAAAGCAGAAACAAGAAACCACCAAAGGTTTCTACATTTCTTCTTAAAGCTGTAATATCTTGAAATTTGTACTGTAGCAAGCTTTTGTTGCAAGTATTCATAATATTTTTGCAATTTAATTAAAAAAATTTTTTTTCACAACTACTCCATCTGATTTTTTTTTTTTTTTTTTAGCACTTAACGTGGATTCTTAATTCAATTTTGGCCTAGCTTTGCTTTTAAAAGGGTGGGGGACTATTTCTTTTTAAGTATACAATTTAGACTTTTTCTCCATAGGAGCCAGTACTTTCTTGCAATACTAGATAAGTTAAGATCTTGCAGCTTCAAGAAAATTTATCTTTTGTAAATTTGCATGTTTTTAGCTCAAATATTGTGCTTTGTTAAATTATTCCCTATCAAAACTGTTACTAAACTGTTGACATTATTTAACTTCTGTGGAGAAAGGCCCTTCAAGATTTATAGAACTGGGCTTCCGAGACTTAAACCATCAAAGGTAGGTAATTTAATGCTGTTCCCAATCTTGCAAAACTAATTGGGGCTGCACATGTAGTATGGAATACTTAAATATTAGAAAGCATTTATTTTGGCACATTTCTGTTTTTTGAAGAAAATGCTTTCAAACGTTTTCGTTGTAGTATTCAGTATATATATATATATATATATAGTAGAATATTTAAAACTTGGAGTAATGCATGTTTCTAATAGCATTTTGCTTGGATTTCTGTGTACACTTAATTCTAATTCTACATGAAGTTGGTAAAGTGACATTGGTATTGATAAGTCATTGTGCTTGTATAGCATATGAAAAGTTTTGGGTTGAATGCTAATGAAATAATTCCTTGTTTTTTCTCAATGCTGCATTGATTGTCTCCTCCTGAAATTCATCTTGATTAATTTTATCTTTTCCCTTTATCTGTCCTTTTGGTTTATATTTAATAACTGTTTTATACATGCTTTTGCCAGGTGATTGAATCAACAGTTGATAGAAATGCTTGTGTTAATCCTTTAGAAAGGGTTTCCTGTCTATGTATTTAGTTTTTTCTGGCTAAGAAGCCAGTTGCATTTATTTAAACCAGTGGGAGCACTGTGTAAAATAGGATTTGTATCTTTGTGTAAAAAAATGTATCTATGTAATACATTGATTTTTAAAAATTTTTGTGTAATATGTTAGTTACGTAATGATATTGAATAGCTTCTTATTTATGTTTTGACATGCCCGTTAGAAGCTTCTAACTGTATATAAGTAGGTTATGTACTACATAAAGTATTGTAGAGAGATTTTCTGCGTCTGAAGTAGTTAGCACTGGAACTTGCTTTCCACACATACGCTGTAATCTCTAATATGTTTTTTCCTAGGTGATGCTGTCAGATAATGGCTGATGTGGCTCGATGCTCCATCTCAGTCTTAGTTTTATGATGTGTTTTGGAGAGGGCTGTTTTCTGAATTTTACAGGTTCTTCAGGCCCTATGATGGTATGCAAGAGACGAGTTTGACAAAATAAAGGGCCTCATATACCCATTGTCAGAAAGTATTTGCCAGTAGATTAAGATATTGTAAACCAAAATTTCTTTTCACTGTTTAAAGATACCTAACTCACCCCTCTGGTTAAGTCAGGCATTTTAGTTCCCTTTACAGTTTTTTAAAGATTTTGGTAGTCATAAAATGAATTGTGACTGATTTTTAGTTTTCTTTTTGTCTTTATTTTTTTTCCTCATGTTAGGTCGGGTTACAAATCTTCGAAGAGTGACTTATGTTGTTTTAGATGAAGCAGACAGAATGTTTGACATGGGTTTTGAACCACAGGTATTTATTAAATTTCTTAGTGTTTTGAACTATAAAGTAAACCTTGTAACTGCCATGAGCATTAAATATTTGTATGGTTTCTGAAATTCTCACACACATTTCTGTTGTGTGGTGATACAGTGGATTGAGGACATAGGGAATTGAAGTAAATATTTATGTTTTGGATTCTTCATTAAACTTGTTCAGGAGGTATTTGTGCAGGCTTTCCTAAGCCATCTAAAACCATCATTGGTAAAATTAGAAGTGGAGTCCTAATAGAAACTTAAGCTTTCATATTTTATAGTTTTCATTGTACTTCCAAATAAATTGCTTTAATTCATGCTTTTCACTACCTCATGATCTAGATAGCACAGGTTGTTTACATTCTCCAGATGTAAAAACTAAGGCCCAAAGCATTTGTCTAGCTTAGATTTTATATTCTTCATGTGTGCAGTTTTGTTCAATACAAAATTTTAGTGATAAAAGCCTAAAGGCTACAAAAAAAAAAAAAAGCCTAAAGAAAAACATGTTAAAAGGTGGTAGAGGGGCTTCCCTGGTGGTCCAGTGGGTAAGACTCCATGCTTCCAATGCATGGTGCACAGGTTCGATCCCTGGTTGGGGAACAAGATCCCGCATGCATGCTGCAACTAAGAGCCGGCATGCCACAACTAAGACCCGGTGCAGCAATCAATCAATCAATCAACCAGTCAATAATTAATTAATTAATTAATTAATTAATTATTTTAAAAGGTGGTAGAAATTTTTCTTAGCAAGAGGAGCTGTATGAGTAGTCAATGGGCTATGGATGCCAAAAAAATGCTTTTAAATCACAAACTGCAGTAATAGAAATGGAATATTGGAAAGGGATATGGTTAAAGTGTTCATTCTTTTCCGTTTATTCATGTATTCTCCAAAAATGTATTACCTGTCATATGATAGTGCATGTATTTTGTTTAGATTTAGGGACCACATTCTAAATGAGATACAAAGGAGCATATAAGAATAAACAGGACTATGGTAATACTTGAGCCATGTGAGAAACAGTTAAAGGAATGAGGAATATTTAGTTTGAAGTAGGGGATTTGGTAGCATCCTATAACTCTTTGAATAAAGTCTATCACATGAAAGAAGCATTAAATTTATCCTTTGGGTCCCAACAAGTAGGACTGGGATAGTGGGGAAGCTATAGGGAGCTTGATCTGAGTGTAATGTGAAAAAGGACTGGATAAGCATTTTGGGGAGATTAAACAGGTTACTTTGTAGGAGGGAGGTATTGAATATGCTTTTTAATTACGTGTTCTAGTAGAGACAGCAGGTCCATTTGTAGAAAGAGAGTAGAGGGAGTTGAAGAAGTCAGGTGGAATATGGAGCTGGGTGCCCTTTCCCAGTCAGTTCAGTGGTTTTTATCGTATTCGTGGAACTTTACAACCATCACCACTATCCAATATCAGAACATTTTCATGCCCCCTCACCAAAACTCTGTCCTGATTAGTTGCTTTTGTTTTGAGTCATATCATTGTGAATTTTTAAAAATCTCCTTTTTATAATGTTTTGTCATTCTAGAGGGTGTAAAAATAGATGCATGTGTTCAGTCTCTCATTTTTAACCAGAAATTGATCTCATGGCTTTTTCTTGGTGTATTCCTTTGTTTATGGACTGCTTTTTCAGTAGAAAGTGCTTGAGGTACATTCTTTGAGTCTTTGCATGTCTGGAAAGTCTTTGGTCTACCCTCACATTTATTTGATATTTAGCCAGATATGAGGTGAGGATTATTTTCCCTCAGAATTTCTTTTTGTCTCCATTGGTTTTCTTTCTTTTCTTTTTTAAAAAAATATTTATTTATTTATTTGGCTGCACTGGGTCTTAGTTTCGGCATACGGGATCTTTAGTTGTGGCATGTGGGATCTAGTTCCCTAACCAGGGATTGAACCCGGGCCTGCTGCATTGGGAGTGTGGAGTCTTAGCCACTGGACCACCAGGGAAGTCCCTCCATTGGTTTTCTTGAGAAATTCAATGTTACTCAGTTATCAACCTTTTGTATTTAATTTGTACTTTTTGTCTTGAAACTTTTTGGATCTTTATCCTAATGTTCTATGTCATTTAGGCTTGTTTTCTTCAACTAGTGTCCTGACTACTTGGTGGGTTCTTTCCGTCTAGAAACTCAGATCCTTCTGTTTTGAGAAATTTTCTTGAATTACTTTTTGATAATTTCCTTCTCTTTGTTTTCTGGAACTCTTATTATTTGAATGTTGGACCTTTTGGACGCATCCTTTAATTTTCTTAATTTTTCTTAAGAATTTTGCATCTCTGTCATTTTGCTGTACTAGGAGATTTCCTAAACTCAAAGCTTTCAACCTTTCTGTTGAATTTTTAAATTCTGCTTTCATAGTTTTAATTTCTAAATGTTCTTTTCTTTTCTCTGAATTTTTATTTTAAATGGCACCCTGTTCTTGTCTCAAAGATACAGAAATTTCTTAAGTTTCCCTGGATATTGATAGTTTTTTGAAATTTTCATCTCCTTGCATAGTCTCTTTCTCCCTTCTTGCTTCTTTTTTTTTTTTCTGTTTGCCAGTACATTTGAAAGCTTTAGGTTAAACAGATTCAAGAACACTAAAATAGTCTTACATTTGTTAAAGAAATCAACTTTTAATTTTCCTAAAAGGAAAACACCAGTTCCTGACTATTTTTTACTACCAAGTTGTACCAGACATTCAAGGAGTAAATAATTATGTTCCTAATCATACTTTATTTCAAAGTATAAAAAAGAGGGAATACTCATCAATTTATAAGGTCATTATAATCTTTTACTTTTAAAAGAGCTCTGTTAAGGTTTAATTATATACCATAGAACTCACTTTGTTAAAGTGTGTAATAAAATGGGTTTTAGTACACATACATGTTTGTTGAGCCATCACCACAGTTCAGTTTTAGAAGATTTCTTTCACCAGAAAAATGTCTTGTGCCTGTCTGCATTCATTTTCTATTTCCACCTCAGCCCGAGGCAGCCACTAATTTGCTTTCTGTCTTAAAAGATTTGCCTTTTCTGGACATTTCATATAAATGGAATCATACAGGGAGTTTCCTAGTGGTCCAGTGGTTAGGACTCAGTGCTTTCAGTGCCGTAGTCCGGGTTCAGTCCCTGGTCAGGGAACTAAGATCCCGCAAGCCGTGCTGTGGGGGGTGGAGGGGGTGGAGAATCATATAGTATACATCTAGCTTGTATTTATTTCACTTATCATATGTGTTTGAGCTCCATTCGTGTGCTAGCATTTGTCAGTACTTTATTCCTTTAATTGCTGAGTAATTAATATTCCGTCATATGAATATATTTCATATTTTGTTTCTCCATTAGCCAGCTGATGGAAATTTGGATTATTTCCATGATTAGGAATAAGGCTGCTAGGAACATTTGTATACAAGTCTTTGTATGGACATACTTCTTTGTATATTTTGAATAGATTACCTAGGAGTGGAATTCCTGATTGTATGGTTGGTTGGTTGGTTGGTTGGTTATTGATTGATTGATTGCGAGGAAAGCCTCAAATAGAAGAAAGCCACTTTTTTTTTTTACATCTTTCTTGGAGTATAATTGCTTTACAATGGTGTGTTAGTTTCTGCTTTATAACAAAGTGAATCAGTTATACCTATACATATGTTCCCATATCTCTCCCCTCTTGCGCCTCCCTCCCTCCCACCCTCCCTATCCCACCGCTCTAGGTGGTCACAAAGCACCGAGTTGATCTCCCTGTGCTATGCGGCTGCTTCCCACTAGCTATCTTTTTTTTCGTTTGGTAGTGTATATATGTCCATGCCACTCTCTAACTTTGTCATGGCTTACCCTTCCCCCTCCCCATATCCTCAAGTACATTCTCTAGTAGGTCTGTGTCTTTATTCCTGTCTTACCCCTAGGTTCTTCATGACTTTTTTTTTTTCTTATTCCATATATATGTGTTAGCATACGGTATTTGTCTTTCTCTTTCTAACTTACTTCACTCTGTATGACAGACTCTAGGTCCATCCACCTCACTACAAATAACTCAATTTCATTTCTTTTTATGGCTGAGTAATATACCATTGTATATATGTGCCACATCTTCTTTATCCATTCATCCGATGATGGACACTTAGGTTGTTTCCATCTTCTGGCTATTGTAAATAGAGCTGCAATGAACATTTTGGGACATGACTCCTTTTGAATTATGGTGTTCTCAGGGTATATGCCCAGTAGTGGGATTGCTGGGTCATATGGTAGTTCTATTTGTAGTTTTTTAAGGAACCTCCATACTGTTCTCCATAGTGGCTGTACCAATTCACATTCCAACCAGCAGTGCAAGAGTGTTCCCTTTTCTCCACACCCTCTCCAGCATTTATTGTTTCTAGATTTTTTGAATGATGGCCATTCTGACTGGTGTGAGATGATATCTCATTGTAGTTTTGATTTGCATTTCTCTAATGATTAATGATGTTGAGCATTCTTTCATGTGTTTGTTGGCAGTCTGTATATCTTCTTTGGAGAAATGTCTATTTAGGTCTTCTGCCCATTTTTGGATTGGGTTGTTTATTTTTTTGTTATTGAGCTGCATGAGCTGCCTGTAAATTTTAGAGATTAATCCTTTGTCAGTTGATTCATTTGCAAATATTTTCTCCCATTCTGAGGGCTGTCTTTTGGTCTTGTTTATGGTTTCCTTTGCTGTGCAAAAGCTTTGAAGTTTCATTAGGTCCCATTTGTTTATTTTTGTTTTTATCTCCATTACTCTAGGAGATGGGTCAAGAAGGATCTTGCTGTGATTTATGTCATAGAGTGTTCTGCCTATGTTTTCCTCTAAGAGTTTGATAGTTTCTGGCCTTACATTTAGGTCTTTAATCCATTTTGAGCTTATTTTTGTGTATGGTGTTAGGGAGTGATCTAATCTCATACTTTTACATGTACCTATCCAATTTTCCCAGCACCACTTATTGAAGAGGCTGTCCTTTCTCCACTGTATATTCCTGCCACCTTTATCAAAGATAAGGTGACCATA